CAGCGATGTATCGCGTGTCATAAAAGGGGTGCCCTTAACGCGCACGCTGGCAGGATTTCAACTATCTCGAGATACGAATATTCGGGAAATTATATTTTTATTAAACGTCAAAATAAAACACATGACGAGAATAGCGGAATTCGGAAATATTACAGGGCAGCGGTATACGCCGGGAGGGAAAAAATGCGTTTATTTGCATTTAAATTAATTTAAAAAATTTACAAGTCATAAACGATGGCTCGAGGTTATCGAAAACGAGTTTGTCGAGAAGTTTCGGAGAAAAAAAAGAAATTGGAGGCGCCGGGCATCGATCCCGGTACCTCTCGCATGCTAAGCGAGCGCTCTACCATCTGAGCTACGCCCCCTGATAAGTAACCCTGGAATTCCATGAAAGTTAAGCAGCGAAGCGCCGATAACGTGACTCAATTTTTTACTCGATTTTTCGCCGATTCGCCGGTCTTGATTGACAACCGGTTAATTACGAACCGGCTGCCACCGATTACGTATAAGAATCGAACTATTGTCCTTCGAGAAATTCGTTTATCACCGGTCTCCCCCGTGTTAGTCATCGTTGAATCATCGTCTATGTATGTCAGATCGTTGCACTTAACCGAACCACGATGTCGCAACCGCGCGCGAGCATAATTGCAGATCGAAAATTCGATTTGGCGCGGAGTAGCGTAGGTCGCGGATCGCTGGCGGAAATGGCGGCGATAAATCGGCGCAACCGATTTCGTTCCCGAATTACTCGCGATTTTAACGGAAAATCGGTAAATCGGTAAGCAAATGCGTCTTCCGCAAGCTCGCTTCTTCTCGCTCCACGTTAACCGACAATACCGTCTCTATTGTCTCGAAAGCGTTCGCGAGGATGCGTCATTGGCGTAGGAATAAAGATGATCCAAGAGTGGTGCCACGTGCTAGAAACCGTGGCTCGTGCCATAAATGCGTTTAACACCGTACGATAACGCGCAGCTCGTGGAAAAAGTCGGCAACTCGGCTGACCTGAGTCATAGCTCGAACAAAGATACCTTTAATCGGTCAAAGTGTCTATACACGAGCCGGCTGGTACATATTTACACCTTTGAACTCCTTACGAAAACATCCCAATACTGCCACGCGTGTATACGTTACTCGTTTCTCCTGCACCGATATCGCAGATAACAGAGCCAACGTTTAAATTCAGATATATCTTATTTGAACGTCGAGGATCGGCAACTTCGTGCTACTTGCCGAAGATACGGAACGGAGGACTAGTCATCGGGGCCCCCTTGAAAAGCATAAAAGATGGTCGAAAAATAGAAAAGAAAGTCGAGGAGGAGCATTAATCCAGCCTGTCCCAGCTCGAGTCACGAGTCGCGCAACATGAAACCACGAAGGTGTCAGCCTCATGCGTGTCCACGAGTTTACGATCCTCCCGAATAGCCTGCGCGAGTTCCGTGGAGCATTATCGCGCAACACGAGGTATATAGAGAGAAAAAGGAGCAAAATGGAGCGAAAGAGGGAGAACTTCCCTCTTGATTTACTCGCTGTTCCGGAAACAGCCCGTTTCGCTTCCGCGCGGTTCTCTCGACGTCACGGGCCTCTTCCCCCGTGGTCATGACGATTCGCGTGTCTTCGACGCGCCCTCTATGCCTATTCCAACGGCCCCTGCACTACGCTCACTCCGCCATGGATTCGTGACCGTCCTTTATTTCGCGAGAACCACCGTAACGTCGCTTATCGGCCGTCGTTTCACGGTATAACCTCGTGGTGACTCACTCCCTCGTGACTCGAAGGTGCATCGGCGTCCTTCGTCCGCCATTGCCCGATTTTTCATCGGACGCGCTCGAGATAACCTCAGATAGGCGACGAAAAAATATTTCGAATATATATATTTCTTCCGACCCAGTTGTCAAAGGATTTTTATTTTATTTACAACACGGGTACACGGGAGTGGGGGGTGGTGGGGATGACGCAAAGGGAATATCCACGGACAGATAAGTCCGGCGAGTGTTTCGCAACCGGAGATGAACGCGACCCGTTAATCTACACCGGCAATTTGCAGCTCGTCGCAATGGAACGATAGTCGTTACAGGAACGTTTCATTGCCACGTAATACCTCGCGGGGCTGCGTGACTCATCGCCGCGAAAGGATTCTAAAGTGTTTTTGCATCGGTGGCCTTGATTCGCCGATTCGACGCCGCTGCACTCGGCACAGGGGAGAAAGAGAAAATGGAAGAACGTTAAATCATGGCGGCCGATTACACGCGTGGATCATCCCGCTATTTTCCGACGTCCCGGTCTCCTGTTCTCCGATTTTCGTCATCGAGAAATGATTAGAGAAAGGCGAAGGAATCGCCTCGGGAATCAGCCGATGCCTCGGTGCGTTCGACGATCCCATTGACCGTGTGTTGGCGATCGCGAGCTAACCAGTTCGTGCACGGAGTGACGGCAAGCGAGGCCATCTCGATGATTTCGCTGCCAGCAGCTGACCGTTGCGTCGGATAGAGAGCAGTCCTCTCTTCCGTTATAACGGCACAATGCGTGCGACCGGCTGAAAGCTACTGCACGCCGGGAAGAAGGAGCGAGAGAAAGAGGAAGAGCAAAAGAACGGGCGGGACAGAGACGGGGCCCGTCATCGGTAGCGGGTGAGGGAGAGGGAGAGGGACGGAGAGAACGGTCACGGGATAGACGGCGACGCGTGATAGGGTGGAGGGGCGGTTAGAAAAAAGGCGGAAAAGCGGAGAAAGCAAGAACAAAACGAAGCTACCGAGAGTGTTGCACGGTCGTTTGGCGTGGAGTGGGGAGCGGCGTACGGCAGGCAGGCAGACGGGCATAGACCGGAGAAAAGACAAGGATATACGGTGAGGGTTGAAGAGAGAGAGAGCGAGAGCGACGAACGTTAGAGGAGGGCGTGGAAACGGAGAAAAAAAGGCACGAGAGAGTACCGCGGCGAAGGGAACCAACGAGAGAAAGTGGAGGGAGAGAGACGAAGCGAGAGAGGGACAGTGGGGGTGGAGGATGGAGAGAGACAGTGAAGCTACGAGGGAGAAGGAAAAAGATAGGAAAACGGGCGTAGAGCGAGAGAGAGGGGGTGAATGGTGGATGAAAGAGGAAGAGAGAGTGAGCGCGCGAGAAGAGCGTACGAGTGTTGATGGCGGGAGTGGGGAGGGGGATATCCGAGCGACGGGGCCTATAATATCGTATGGCAGTGCCGTAACGAGAGGCGCTTTCCCGAACGTTGACCTCTTCGCGCTTCCAATACTAACCTCGCCCAAATGCCCGCTGCCGGGAATACGAAATAATAGAAACTTGGGTGTCCCTGATCGCCCCGGTGCGGTGCACGGGCCCGGCCCAGAGATCGTCGGCCTTCGTGGAAGCCGATTGACCGAGAAGATCTCGAAACCGCGGTTGCGCTCTCAACATCCTCTCCCTGCTATATACCGAGCTTCCACCGGCTGTTTCCGGGGGCAAGCTGCTCCGATCCCTTTAAACCGCCTACTTCTGGGAACTCGGCTCGGGTCGACGTGCTCCGAGTTTTTTCCCTCTCGCTTTACCGGGAAATCGTAACGAGAAATTGATACGATCGCTCTTGGAACAACGAAAGTATCGTAATAAGTTTCTCGAGCGAATTTCCCTTGCAAGGTTCCGTCGATACGGCGTCTGCGCGTATCGATCGTCGAGGTCGCGATTTCCCAGTTCGGAAAATCCCGTTCCGCGAACGCTCGCGGCGATCGATACCGTTCGTTTCAGCCTCTCGAACGGTCTCGATCATCAACGTCGATCGTCATCGAGAGGCGAGAGATGATCGGACGCGATCGAAGCGTCACGGTGTTATACATAGCTAGTGTATTCTCAGGGCAACGCGAGAAGTCGTTGCTGCTGTGAGGCAGGAGGAATTTTCGGCTAGGTCGCATGAAAAATTTCGCGACGGTATTCTTCATCGTGACGTTTCGTGGCTCGCGACAAAGGGTCGTCGGTATTTTGCGGAAATGAAAGGGGGAAGAGCCCTTCTTCGTTTCCTCCCGAGTCTTTATATTTCGCGTTGTCCTTGCAAGACAAAGGAACCTTAAAGGCCCTGAATGGCTCTTCTCCTCCCTGGCTACAAAGAGACCGGGAGAGATTCATTGATCCGAACAGTTACCGCGAATATTCGCGCGAATCGTAGAGCTCTTCGTATGCATATGTATATTGTATGTACATCCATCGCGATAACGTCCATCCTCCTCTCCGAGAAAGAGTCTGTTCATTAACGTCGATAAACAAAGCGAACGTCCCGCCTCCGAAGATTATGTACTTTTCAGTTATGCAAGGGGAGATTACCGGTTGCCGTTTCGCGAAAACGGTGACAAAGTACCGGATAACAGCGACGAAGGTAGTATACCCGTAAATCGAACAGCAACCGCGTACACCCTACAGGTTTCGTGTTGGTGCGTATCAAAGCGGTTCCGAACCCGTGATTTTGACTTTCTCCCGGCATTTTAAACCGCGAGAAGTCGATACAAGTACGACAAGCCGGTGTATTCTTCGTTTACTTTTACCAGCGGGCCGCGTATAACGCGTTACAACTTGCATCGTGCCGATAATCAGATGGGATCGATATTTTTAGCACAGTTCGTACTCCTGTTGCTAAGGCATCAGCTGATCAAGCCGGCTGCCTGCGTGCACCAGCCCCGTATCTATAGCATCCTACATCCACATCCCCACCCGTCCGCCTCTCCTCCTCTGTTCGCGGTCTCTTGAGCGAGCTCGTAGCAAAGTTAAATATTCATGAAACGTTGCAATGAATCACGAATTATCTGAAAGCAAAACCCTCGTTTTTTTATGCGCTTTATCAGAATTTCGCTTTAACGACACCGACACGGTACGCACTGTTGCTACGGCACTGTCGACCAATCGCAGGCCCGAGGAACCGGCGAGTCCCCCCACCAGCTGTTCGCTCCCCACCACGCCGGCCCGACCAGATGATCGCAGCTCAGCTTAGCTATCGAAGCATCAGTTATCGTCAGTTAGCAACCGGCTCTCTTTCTGTATACATCGTTCACCGTAGCAATCCCTAAGCACGTAATGTCCAGTGTAACCTGATTCTTGTGATCTTTCTAATTGTGTGTCGGTGTTGTGAACGATCGTAGTCTCTTCTGCCTTCTTTTTTCTATTGCATATTTTTTACCGTTCGATATAACATATACGAGCCGTAAGAAAAGATTCAATCGAGCCTGTAGCATTATTATACCCGACACCAGGGTAACGAGCAATATTTCTGTGATATTTATTATGACTGGTAATTTCTCGTCGGTGTTTCTCGTGTGTGACAACCCACGGACGTTCAATCTGAAAGGAAGGCTCGCCTATAAGACACGCCGGTGAAACGATTTTCCACAAATTTCCGAGGGGCACGTATACGCACCGAGCTTCTATACCCCCGTCTTTTTTCTACCAAAAGAGCTTAGATCGTTAAGGGACCGAAGACAGAGCTTCTTTTTTATTACATACAACGTATAATACGTGCACGCGCGTACACCCGTCTACCGAAGTCTTTCGTGTACTATCTATTATACTTACATATACATACATAGTGTATTTATTAAAATCATCCAAAATTCCTGTGGCTAACGTGACCGAGTCTTACCCGAAGGCGGATACGATCGCGAATTGTGGTGGTGCCGCCAGCATGGGTCAGATTGGAAATGACGTGAGTTTTTTACAAACTATTTTTTTTTTTTTCATTTTTCCATCGCAATTCTAATTTCACTTTTGCATATCATTTATTCGGGCCCCGGCTCGAGAAGCCGGCGCGGTGTGTCGCTTTCGAAACGAATGCGCCTGTCGCCGGCTTTTTTGTTTTTCTTTTTTTTTTTTTTTTTCGCCTGGTAACAGCGAAAGGGGGAGGATCGACCGGCTTTTCGGCCTTCTCCGCGTTTCTCGTAATTACAACCGTTCTATACGCACGCATCCGCGTGTACACGGACACCCGGCGCGCGCGCGTGTGTGTATCTCGCAATCCCTGCACGCATGCGGCCGGCGCATTCGGAAAGTCACCGAAACCTTACGACTCGCCGAGCGGAGAAATATAGTTGGACGTAAGGCGCGGAGAGAGACAGAGAGAGGAAAAGCGATGGAAAGAAAAAGGAGTCGCGCGAGTATCGTGACCCTTAACTATGTCTACTGATCCACGCGCGTTCAGCCGATTTAATTCTGGATTTCGAAGCGTGTCTCCGGATCTGTCACGTGTACGGTTTTTAATACTCGGTTTCGTATCTGTCGTATCGCCACCGTGCATCGATCATGTATTTTTTTTTTCGTTTTATCACCGTGTCCATGCATGTTTGTCTCGTTTATCTGTACGGGTAGATAAATTTAATCGAGTATGGTTAAATCGACCAAAAAGAATTATTCCCTGGGTATGTTCGACTCGATGGATTCGTTAGAATAAATGGTGCCGGGTAATTGATTCTGTTTAGAGAGGGGAGCGCAACTATTCGATTCACGATCCGCGTGCATGCTCGTTAAATTGTAGCTCGTTCGGGCCGAAGCTGCTGTCGGTCTTGCGGCCCGAGATCGATATATCGCGCGTGAGGATCTAACCAGTCCATTTTTCACGCGCGTCCACATGTATATGCATACGTGTTACGCTCGTTGGATAACGAATAAAGGACCGATTGTTTGGCTAGCTTCTCCAAAAAAGCTCCATAAAACGGCTCCCTTTACGAAGCGCTTGTCTCCGTCATCGAGAATTCACTCGCTGTTTCGCTAATATTCCGGTTTTTCGTTGTTTTTCTATTCGAACGCTTGGTTTTTGGGAATACCAATTATCGGATTCGTACGGTCAACTTTCGAAAATCGAAAAATTTCGAATTTTAACGTTCGATTTTGGAAAATAAAAAATTCGTCACTTCGTAAATTTATTTTCGAAAAGCGAAAATTTCGAATTCGAACGTACCGTTTCGGAAAGTTAAAAAATTCGCGATTCCGTAAGTTAATTTTTGGAAAGCGGAAATTCCGAATCCGATCCCTCCGTTTTAGAAAATAAAAAATTCGGGATTTCGTAAATTAATTTTCGAAAAACGAAAATTTCGAATTCGAACGTTCCGTTTTGGAAAGTTAAAAAATTCGCGATTCCGTAAGTTAATTTTTGAAAAGCGGAAATTCCGAATTCGATCCTTCCGTTTCGGAAAATAAAAAATTCGGGATTTCGTAAATTAAATTTTGAGAAACGGAAATTTCGAATTCGAACGCTTCGTTTCGGAAAGTAAAAGATCCACGATTCCGTAGGTTAATTTTTGGAAAGCGAAAATTCCGAATTTGAACACCATGTTTCGGAAAATAGAAAATTTGTCACTTCGTAAATTAATTTTCGAAAAGTGAAAATTTCGAATTCGAATGCTCCGTTTCGGAAAGTAAAAGATCCGCGATTCCGTAAGTTAATTTCCAAAAAGTAAGTTTCGAATTCGGTCGATCACTTTGCAAAAAATTTTTCGCTCAAAAAATTTTGGAAATTAGATTTATCGGATTTAAACGGCTATTTTACGATTATACCGAATATCGATCCGAGCCAGCCGATACGTAACAATTTTGGCAAATTCCTCGATCTATTTCCGTGCGGGTTTTAACGGGTGTGTGAGAAATCCCGAAGCGTAATTTCGTAATGCTTGCAGCGTTCCAGCCGCACGCGATTCACCGTTTCCTTTCTGCGGAATCAGGCGGTAAAGCCCGGTTCGTGGATAACACGAAGGAGTATCCGTTCTTGCGTCAGACACGTACCCCACCCTTGGCTTGCCGTGGCCCTGTGTCACTTTGCCAATTTTATTGACGCGTTTCATCATCCTGAGCGTTCACCCAAACCAACTTAGCGTTGTTTACCCGGCGTGGATGCCATTCCGTTGATTTCACAGCGGCTACTCGCGCAGCTTTAATTTCATACGTGTCTTCCTAACCTCGTACACAACAAGGTTAACGTCGCGAACACGATCTCTGCCTCGTATATCGGTAATTTCACCTTCTCGTTCTTTCTCGCGTTCCTCGAGAAGCTTCCAAACACTTGCGATAATTTCTGCTTTTTATATCATCACCTTCATCGTCCCATTTCGTCATCCCGCAGCCTTCTTATCACGGTTACCCGAATAAACGAGCTTCTGTTTGCCCGTGCCACGTAATACCGCCTCGACTCGACGGCTAAGCTTGATTTCGTTACCATTTTTATTTCTCCGTTTTCTCACCGTCTCTGATACCACCGGCGCTAATTTCCCCGTCTTTTCGCGCGGTTTTGTTTACAACACCGCGACGCTAACTCCCGCTCCTATTATTGACCATTTCATTGACGCATTTTAATCCTCGTCGCAGAATTTTATCGCCATTACGTCGGTACATGAATCGCAATTCTCGAGAGAGAGACGACCGTGACGTTAATTTCCATCTTTCCTATTTTACGCACGTGTAGTTCGGTTCAAAACGACGATTCGTTCTTCGGTACACGGAAATTCTTCCCTCGGAGTGGATTTTACTCCCGAGCTATCGTGGAAGTCGAGGATAATCGAACGCGTGTACCATCTCGAGGGAAGACAGGAAGAAAAATCTGTTTGCCCGAGACGTTTACCCATCGTAACACGAGTAGCTTTGGGAATAATCGCTGACCTGTTTCAACGGGCCCTCCTACAATCAGCCTCAGCGATCTAAAAATAAGGCTGGTCTAATCATTTTGACCAATCTACAAGGTCAGACGGATTCGATAGTTGGCTTCCTAGGAGTTTCTTTTTCGATCTGTCTCTCTGGGACCATTTTCTTACTATGACAGCGCTACTTTGTGTCAAGTATATATGCAGACTGTATTTCGAATCAACGTCTAGATGTCTGTTGCGTATGAGCTTTATCGTCAGCTTCATAGGGAGTATAGAGCAGGGACAGGGTGACGGAGACATTAGAGGACCGGTGTGGGAAGATAAAGATTTTAGTCGGTCACGTTGGTCACCTCGTGCGCGGTGCCATTTGCATGCGAACCTGCACGCTTTGCCAGTTTCATTCATAAACGCACGCGGTCGGTGAAATCGCCCGTCTCTTGCACGATCCCCTCCCGTTCTTGCGCCGATTCGCGAGAATCGTTGAAAGTCGAACGCGAGTTTCCGGCGAAAAGTCAAATTTCGGAGAGCGAATCTTGCGCCGCGAAAATTCAAATTTCGTGCAAGGAATTTCGTGCCGCGAAAATTCAAATTTCGTGCAAGGAATTTTGCACCGTGAAAATTCAAATTTCGTCGAGCGAATCTCGCGCCGCGAAAATTCAAATTTCGTGCAAGGAATTTCGCGCCGCGAAAATTCAAATTTCGTGCAAGGAATTTTGCACCGCGAAAATTCAAATTTCATCGAGCGAATCTCGCGCCGCGAAAATTCAAATTTCGTCGAGCGAATTTTGCGCTGCGAAAATTCAAATTTCGTCCATCGAACTTCGCGCCGTGCAAATTCGAGTTTCGTCCATGGAATCTCGCACCCCGAAGATTTGAATTTTGTCGAGCGAATTTCGCGCCGCGAAAATTGAAATTTCGTCCAAGGAATCTCGCGGCGCGAAAATTCAAATTTCGTCGAGCGAAACTCACGACGCGTCGCGTTTCCGTCGGTTTCGTTATCGCGAGAGAGGAACGGTAACGGTGGGTGTTTGCGATTTTTCCAGCAACTCGAAGCGTCTGGTTGGTTTGTTAACGTTTCCCGCGACGCCCTTTGAAGCGCGGCAAATTGCACGCGGAGGCAACGAGAGGGTGGTCGTCGTCGGGTCGCCTGGAAGAGGGCGCTGCTTTCGAGCGATTATTTTTATCCGACGACTCCGACTTTTCTTCTCCAATTCTCTCCTCTCCTTCCCTTTCCCCGTGCTTTCTGCTCGTCCCTTTCCTCCCTTTGTAAACCCTCGCGAGCCCGTACGCGTTCCATCTGGCCACGGTGGCCCGATCTCTCCATTTTCTCCCTCTTCCACACGCGTCGTATATATTTATACGTATTCCCCGTGTGTATGTTCTCCTCTCGTCCAGCTCCCTCGAGATCGTAAAATCGTTTTCCAAACGGAAACCGGTTCCTGAGATCTGGGTTCTGGTTTTCGATGTTGTTGCGCGCGGTCATAGGCCGCCTTCGCTGCTCGAAGACCTCGGGAACGGGTCCGGGCCCGTTCCGGCCAACAGGTTTTCTTGCCTTTTCTTTCCCCGCCTCATCGACAGCCGCGCGAAGCCACCGCTCAATGAACCGGCGTTTCACCCCGTAGCTCTTTTCTTCTCCCGATCCCGACTCCCTGAGTTTCTTCCTTCTTTAGTCCAGGAGTCAGTCCTCCATCTGGAAGCTCCTCTCGTTGACGATAGAGAAAATTCGGTAATTGGGAAGAGTATCTGAGCGTTTTTGGATAACGCTGCACGTACTGATGCACGTATTATCGTGTCGCGATCCAGGGCCCCTTTTTCTCTCGAGCTTCTCTAGTTTCGCGTACCATCGCTACTTAACCCCTTCGCTACTGTGGGCGTCTACGGGTGCTTAAAAATTTTGCGTTTGTGACACGAAGGGTGTCTATGGGCGCTTAGAAATTTTGCGTTTATGACACGGAGGGCACCTATGAACGCTTGGGAATTTTGCGTTTGTGACACGGAGGGCGCCTATGAACGCTTGGGAATTTTGCGTTTGTGACGCGAAGGGCGCCTATGGGCGCATAGAAATTTTGCGTTTGTG